AGGGAGGAAAACTTTAAAAGAAAACTTAGCAAGACAGGGCACAAATAACATTGCCTTCTTCGATACAAATTTTTTGAAAAAATTAGATAGGCAGGAAGGAAAACTTTAAAAGAAAACTTTAGCAAGACAGGGCACAAATAACAACATTGCCTTATTCAATTCTGGCTGTTCACTTTCACAATAAAACATTCTTTTAACATTTATTGTTTATTACGAACTGCTGTGAGCTGTTTGAAACTCTTTGAACTTTGCTGCTATGTTATATTTTTGTCGGGACTGTGAGTGGTTGTAACTTTGTCTGGACTGTGAGTGGTTGTTGTAATGTTGTCTGGACTGTGAGTGGTTGTTGTCAGGATGGCGTCCAAATTTACCTCGGCAATGGAGGCAACACCTTGACGCGGTGCCGGGGCTTGTACCAAGTTTGTCTCCGGGAAATTCCTGTTCTGTTATATTCATGACTTTCACACTTCTCATGATGCCTAGTAAAGATCACGGATATGACGTTTGACCACCCCTCCCCCTTCCTCGATGTAATATTTCCAACAAGTTTTATCGACAAACTGGTCAACTACATTGTTTTGAATTATTTATCTAGTATAAAGCGCATGCCATAATTAATTTTGTTGGAATTAGAGAAAATGACGTACCTTCTATCCTTCTATCTTCTACCGAAGACTCTCCTCCTCGCACGGTCGCATTACGTATATCCGCTTCTTACGTCATATTGGGAAGTGTGAAAGTCATTAATTGAATTAAAACTGAATGTCTCTGTGGTCCTGTTTTGAGTGAACACACTGTGGCAAGGAGGATATTGAAGACAAATCTCACTTTCTGATGTCGTGTCCAACATAATTTGAAAAGAATTAAGAAAACGACAGAAGTTCATGCATTCCATTGCTTCCAAAACTAATGTTACATTACCCCATTCAAAACCAGATATCTTAAATATGCTCCTGCCATGCTGTACTCAGGTATCAGTGTACGTAGGTGAATTTAATTATGGGTTCACCACACCACGAAGTGGTGGTGAACCCATATTGCTTTTTGGCGACGCCCTTTGGGGGCGGAGGCATTTGTGTAAGTACTGCGATCGCTTTGAAAGAATTTCAAAAATTGCACGAATGCATTCCCTGGGGAATTGGTTTTGAGGAAACCTTCGGCCATGTGGTTTTTGGATCAAGCAGGTAACTTACACCAGTGCCCACGTGCCACCCATCCAGCTGCCTGGCATGATTAATTACTGGACATTTGTCTTCTCCCCACACCATGGACAGAGAGCACAGCTGTCTTTGGCTAAAGACCATATCAGATCACAGAGAGAAAAGAAATTGTCCGTCCTTTTGGATCCCACAAAAGGTAAAAAAAAGTGAAAGGAGTAACAACTTCAGACCAGACATAAAATCCAGTCTCTGGTGGAGGATAGAGTGAAGTGAAATGGAGGATGGTTTTGTTCTAGCGGGAACTCGACCAAAGTAAAGTAAGTATGTCATGATAAAATCTATATTGCTGGGGAAGAACGGCTGATTCCTCCTATACGTGTATTTGGTATATTGCCCCACACCTCCTCCACCCATCCTGTAAATTTCACTACGTGCATGTCTTTATAAGATAGGGAAATATGTTTTTCTGATAATTGTAATGTAGATTGCTAGCTCCACCATATGAAATAATATATATCATTCAGTCGTCGCCTTGGCAATGATTTTTATTGCCTCAGCCTTGTTTCTGATGTTTCTTCTTCTCCTCCTCCTCCTCCTTCTCCTGCCATTTTTATGGGTTCACCACACCACGAAGTGGTGGTGAACCCATATTGCTTTTTCTGATGTTTCTTCTTCTTCTCCTCCTTCTCCTGCCATTTTTTAAATGGATTCAGCTTCTTCATTTTAGGGCCTAAGGTCCTGAAATTTGGTATGGAGGTACAGTGGGCAAATACCCCTAGGCGTTTTTTAAATTTTTGTGATACAGGCTTTTAGAATGGTTTTATTTGAGTTTTTTGGCTGTGTTATAGCAAATGTATTACTGTGTTAGTGTGCCGTGTTTACCACGTCTGGGCATGAGTCATCACAATGGAATGCAGGGCATCAACCAATAGGCATGCAGCTTTCCTCTATACTTCTTGCTGATTG